GGAGAATAAAAGGAAGTAAAAGAAAGGTGACCTGAAACGAACTGGCCCTTTGTGTATGGGTCACCCACGTGAATTGCACAGAAACAGTAGAAGCATGTGATTCTAGCCCCTGTAGACAAGAATCATTTGTTGAGTTGGGCAGGGCCAGCCATCTATAGTGATACTTTATACCAGTGAGAAGCAGTGAAAGTTTTGGCCACATGAGATTATCGCTCCTTCTTCATTTTATGTTTGGAAGCAGTCCTAAAACTTTTTGATTAAGTCCCAAGGAATCTTAGACTTTTTATTTTTGTTCCTTTATCCCCCATCCCATTTATTAATAGAGGTAGGACAGATTGTAAGAAGATATAATTTGGAGTTTAAGATATGAAATATAAATAAAAAGAAAGTAATAGCATTTGTACTTTGAATCGCTACACATATTATGTTTTATGCATGTTTTATCACTTTAAACTTCTCTCTTTTAAAGTTACAATTTTTTTTACTTATACACCTATAAACTTTTTCTACATTAGAGATAGTAAATCTTGTTTATAGTAAACTCATGTTTTCTAAACTTATGCTTTTTAAATGCTGTTAGTGTTGTTTTTCTCACCCACAGAGAAGGTAAAAAAAAAAAAAACCATGTAATTTTCACAGTTGTTTCTTCTCTGGTTGCTGGCTTAAGTAGAATGATTAGTTAGTCCTATCTTCTTTACCATGAATATTATATGAACAGTTATTTCCTTATTCTAATTTGAAATGTCTCTTTACATTGACATCATTAATCTATCTGAAACATATTTGAGGGTATTTGGAAAAATAAGATTGGTTCTAGTTAGGCACAGTATGTCTCACCCTCTCATTACTAAACTGGAGATACTAACAAAATTACTTTAAAAAGCTATTGCGAAGCTTAAACTTGAACTATATCTAAAGAAATTAGCAATTAGGCCAATAGTTATAAAATTAATACTGTTGAGTCTGTATTTACCTTATTAATTGGAAATTAGTTTGATCCCAGTTCAGATTATTTTATCCATGTAACTTTATAAACTTATAACTGTTCATGCATTTTTATAAGCTAATATAGATCATGTACATCATAAACCTGAAAGTAAAGGACATATTAAAATGCTAATAATAGGCATTTTTCAGAGAGGGATTTTTGGGTACCCTTTACAGTTTTCTATATTTTCAAAACTTTTTTTAATGAATATATATTTTTTAATCAGAACTCTCCTCCCCCTTCCAATAGCTTATTGAGAGTAAAGAATATACCTTTTTCAAAGGGTTGAAAAGGAAGAAAAGGAAAAGGACAAAAAGTTTTGCAAAGTATTGAAAGACAGAAGAAGAATAATTCCAGTTGTTAAAGCGGGACAAGAGCACTCAGGCTCCCAGAAGGGGCGGGGGGCTTCAAATGTATCTGTAAAACACACATCTTACAGAGTCCTTGTAGGATTGTAATGAAATACCTGAAAAACAATGGTTCAATTTGTAGCACATACTCAGACTAATTCATTATAGACACTCTCTCTCTTTAAAAAAAACAATAAAAGAGTCTTCCTGGGCTGACCTCATGTACCACCGACTTAGAATATCTCAAGGAACCTGCAGAACCTTCTTTTTAGTGGCATCATCCTTGAAGCTCTTACCAGTGGCAGCAGGGACAGCTGGAGAGCACAAGCACCTCGCACAGAGGTGCCCTCGCCAGTTAGCAAGGCGGGATGCCGTGTGTGAGGGTGCCGGTCAGAGACAGACAGGGCTGGAAATCAACTGAGAAGAGCAGGGCAAGGCTTACCTGGCACTGGGTGGCGCAAGTTCAATGGCTGCAATTGTGGGACCGCGTGTCCATATTCAACTCACCCTGATGTGCCATCTTCTGCCTTCTCCGCTCTATACAAAACCCCAACAGTCACCCACAGACCCAGAGAAGAGGGCTGTTACAAATTCTCCCTACCATGGCCGAGTTGCTTTTGGCCAGGTATTTAATGAGCGAGAGAGGAGTCCTGTTATACACATAGTTCCAGTAAACTGGTTTATGGTCAAATATAGCAATTTTAAAACCATAGTTAATGTTTACTCACAGACAACTGAATGTGATATACTTTGAATGTCTAGGATCTGTGACGAAGCGCCCCAGACTCTGCGGATAAATGCAACCAATTGGAAGTGGCAGAGGAGAGGGGTAGCATTTCCACAGAAAGAAAAAACCTACTTGCGTGTACGGAGGGTCTCTTCCTTGAATTATGTGCTGATGGTGGTGTGGCAGGTCCTTTGCCATGCCTGGGAGTTTGACATGATTTTCCCATTCTTCCCAACCATTCACTAAGTCTTCTCTAAAATGTCATGCAATCAAATGTCTAATAGAAGGGGTCTAAACCTTGTGACATTTGCTTAGAACTTGTGCCTCTGCAGGTTTCTATAAATTTAAAGAGTATATTTAGATGTACCTCCTTTCTCCTGAATTCTCCTGGATTCTCCCATTTCCTACCCTTCCTGGAATTACAGTAATTCTCATTACTTCACTTTTGAAAACCACTACATTTACTTATGTTACTTTTGTCAGCAAAATTAACACATACTTCGAAAGTTTCAAGATTTAAATGCTCTTATTTTAATAAAAGCTGTTATCCCAAATGGGCCTAAGTTTGGGGAAGTTAATGAAAAAAGGAATTGATTTAACAGTGAGGACATTTTATAAATGTTCCCTTTGGAAGCATCACGTAGTGACAATTGTTGCCTTAATTACTTTCAAGATGATAAGAATAAAAATAAGTGTAGAGTCTAGTCAGTTTGCTTCCTAGGATGACACCCTACGAGTGCAGGACCTGGGAGTGAGGGTCAGTCACCTTAGGTACTGAGATGACAAGGCAGGGGTCCCATGACCCATGAACATGGGCATGCATGGCCCATAGCTGTCCTCCCTCACAGGGAATCTGCAAACAGGTCTCCTCCTCCCTCTCCCTTGGGCTGGGAGTGGGCGAGCACACAGACGGGAGAATTCCCCTGGACATTGCTGTGTCAGTGTGCAAGACAGGTGCACTGTAAGGGCCGTTTTGTTAAGCCTGTCACTTTCGTTAGCATCAAGAACATGCTCCCATATTGTTCCCATATTCATTCACAGGGCTACTCTTCTTCAGTTTCCCCTTCTTCCCCCAATTCCTTCATACACTCAGCCTGGCTCTCTTCGGCCTGCGGGCAATGCTGCTGTACCATTGTAGAAGAACGGTGGTAGAGCTTCTGCTTTCTTCTGCGTCACCCACACCCATTTCTAATTCTTACCTTGATCAGACCTAACGTTCCTGCCAACCCAAAGCCCTTCCACTGGGTCCCATTCACGACGGCACCTCCTGGGAACTGGAAGCAAACATGGAGACCCTGACCAATAATGGAAATAGTGTTATCATCCATGTGGCAATGTTACATGCTTGTTGATAACCCTGAGATAGGAAGGATAATCTTCCTTGAAAATTATAGGGTAGATCCAGGTGTTTGGTCGCCCTCCCAACCTATGTTAATATGATGTTCATGCATTCTGACATTGTAGAGGAAGCCGTGAGAGCTCTGGGAAGTAGGAGTAGGCGGTCTGCGTTCACTCACACAGTAACGGGGAAAAAATGACAGCCACACTAAGTTCAGCTAGAATGTAACATGTCCACAGCTTTATCACTCTGGAGGCACCTTTTGACACAATAACAAACTACTGAGAAAGAACCACTTTTATCTAGGTCAGAATGACAGACTCCCAAGTGTTCGAGAGCTTGGGGGAAACGACAATTTGGAACATCAGGAAGAAAAATGCAGTCTGTACAGAGATTTTCATCGAGTCTCGACACGGCCTAATGGTTTTCATCCCGTACATTGTAATTACTCCACTGGATTTTACTGGTCCAGCATTCTGATTTCAGTGCCTACCAAAATGAAATGAGCTGCATTTTCGGACGACCACCTTTATAATGCGATGCAGATGGTAAAAGAAACAGATGCCGCTGACATCATCTCCCATTTGCCGACACTGGCAGTCCGTACACGCTTTCAAAGGCTGCAAGACAAGTCAGGCAGTTTTCCAATTCTGTTTCCAGTCCAAAAACACACGGTCCGCGTGGCTCTGCAACTTTGAGTCATATGATGACAATTCCACAAAAACAAGTTTGATTCTAAGTCTGTGTCGGGCTTTAATGCAAAACTAATTATCAGGGGGGAAAAAAATCCCCACAAGTATGGGGAGCTTAGCAATTCGTAACTGCGGATTGTTTTGCATGGCAGTGACAGAAAGGAGAGGGTAGGAGTGGCCTGGTCCTAGCAGCTGTGACTTCAAGGAGGCGAAAAAGAGAGAGCTTTAAACAGACAAGCAGGTTGGACATATCCACCAGCCCTTGGCACCCAGATTATTCAAAAACTGATCCCATCACTTCAAAGTAGAAAATGTTAAGGAGGCTTTTTGGTCACTGTTTCTGACCTGCAAAAAAAAACAAACAAAAAAAAACAAAACCATGTTCCTTCTGTATTTCTACCTGTATTTCCCAGAAGGAATTCTACAGTTCAGATAGGAGCTTCCACCATTTCCCCAGTGATATCACTAAACAGTATACATAGTAAAGGATTTATTTTCTTGTGCAGGATAAATATGTTTGAACTTTAAAAAAAAAAAAAAAAAGGAACTTCTGTAGTCTATCTCGAATGTAAGAGATGCTTGCATAAAGCAACACTTGAAGGCCTTGACCAGTCTTTGAGGTTCCAGGGCCGATCAGCACAGTTTCAGATGGAGAGACAAAAGCTCTTAAAGTCTTCCCATCTCCCCTGACCACAACGGAACTTCATCTACACCTCTGTGGTGGAAGCATTTCAGCAGAGAATCATTCAGAGACAAAGGCAAGACAGCGGTGACGTCAAAAGTAAATCGTGCTAGGCCAACTATAGTGCCTATTTTTAAAATAATCTCTCTGTGCAAGTAATTAACTGAACACACACACACACACACTCTCACATACAGAGTACAAGAATAAACAAACTCTTCTAATCGATGTCCACAAATCGGGTTGGTATTAGTGCAAATTTCTGCTGACCCGCAGCGCTCAGTCCGTAAACTTTGGATATCCTAGACGGTCCATCAGTGTCCAGCAGATGTTTTCAATCAGTTTAATTTTATCTCTAGGCAAGTTTTGTTTCCAAACATTAGTATTACTTGGTGATATTTCCCCTTCATAGGGAAGATAGAAAAGGTTCGTGGAGGTGGCAAACAATATTTGGTTTAAACTAGCAGGAGACAAAGGAATTCCAAGGAAAGCAAAAATCCTTTCAGTGGTTTTCTGGGGGAAATGTATAATATCTTCAAACTTGATCAGCTGGTAACTGGTCGGCAGCAAATCTGTATTTATTCTCAGGGCAGCTGCTGTGTTTGCCAGCCACAAATGGGACAACAGGGAGACTGCGTTCGACTTGGGTTTTGATAATTCTTTCCTTAATGATTCATACTCAAGAGCATAGCCCGAATTTAAGCTACATTTGCCTTTACCTCTCTCAACTTTAAACAATTTAGCTAAGCGCTCTGGGACATTCTTCAGAGAGTAAAGACTTGGTTTGCTACTGTACAGCATTGAATAAATCCAGGCCCGAGGGTCCCGTACTATGTACAATGCCCTCAGTGAGGATCCCAAAACTTCCTGAAAAAAATGAAGCTTTAATGTCCAGCTCCCGCTGCTTAAACTGAGCACAGGCCGCGCACTCGGGAAGTAAACCAGGTGTCTCCTCAAAGCCCTAATGTATTCAGCATCTCTGTCAAAGGCGCCTTTCATGCGACTTCTTTGTTCTGGCAAAGACTCTCTCCTCTTCGACTTTCTTCTCTTGTCCTTACTCAATGTAAAATATTGGGTCAGTTTTCCCCTACTGGATTCGTGCAGATGGATGTTTTGCAAATGCAGTTTTGTGTCTTGGACTAAGGACTGCAGCCAGCCTCGGAGTAGGTGGAAACGCACACTGTGGATATCGGACGCCTTCCATTCACAGGCATCTACAAACGAGTCGATTTCAAATTCCGTTTCAGGGATGTCAATGTAGGCTGTGGGGACCCTGATGTAGAGAAAATCACTACTGTTGAAAAAGAGTTGTTTGAGGATTTCAGCGCCAGAACCAGGGAGTGAGGTAATGACGACATCGGGGAGATCAACATGGTGCCCTGGGGAAGACACAGACTTCGCGCCAGCCTCGGCTTCCGTCCTTGCCCATTGGGCACAGATGGGCTGAGTGCAAGCGCTCCACACATCCAGGAGCTCGATAAACCACAAGGCAACAACAAGTATTAGGATCCATCGCATTAGCTTTCTGAAGGAAAGGTAAAACCGCCACTGAAAAGTTAAAATCAACAAGCTGATGCACAAAATCAACCCAATTGCTACATTAAATTTAAACCCAAAGGGGAAAAGAACCTTATCACGTCTTATGGGCTTGACTATTGCTTGAGAGCCCAAACCAAATCGGGTAATTTGGCCCTGATCAGCTACATTGGCAAAACCACCAAATCCCAGGTAACTGAATCTTGTGTTCAGGTTGTAGTAGTCAGTTACAATGGAAACAACATGTTCAGTGTTATTGACGTTGAGAGAAATCTGAAGTCCAGAGTTGGAATTATCAATAAATCTGCAGCTGGAAACATTGACATATGGCCCATAAAACACATATGCAATCCTGGTGATTGTGGATTCCATCTGAAATGTGACATTAACAAACTGGGTCCACCGTTTCTTAAATTCAGCGGCTTGCTCTGCTTCCTGTATACTAGCAGCAGGGCTACTGCCCCGATGATCAAACCAAAACATTTTATAGTGTGCATCCCACACATCCATCATGGCGCCATTATACCTGTTCATAAACCTGTATGGGATGTACTTAAAATCAATATCCAGATTGTGAAAGAAGGCACTGACAGATTTTATTGGGGAATCGTCTTGCCTCTCAATGTGATCAACAACTAGCAAAGTTTGAGAATTTAAGAGCAGCAAAGCACGATACACGCTTTTCAGCTTCATCGCTGAAGAATAAGCAGACACGGCCTCCCCACTCACAAATATCATTTCCCCATGTTGAGAGGCAGTAATGATTTCCCCCGCTGCGTCCCCAACCTCCTCGCTGGTCCACTTGAGCCACTGCCCACATTCCCCCAGCTGACCTTCCCAGGGCTTATTGCACTGGCTGGTGGGCGATGGGGCAAACACCAGCACGTTGTTCAGGTGGCTCAGCTTGGGCCCATAGAGAGCTTCAGAAACGAACACTTGCCCATTGGGAGCAAAAGTAAATGAGTTCTGATCTGGATGTTCATGCCCTGGGTTGAAGCTTCTCCACCCGTCAATCCAGGAGTATGGCTGGAAGTGAACTATGTCATACACAGCTCTACCCCCTAGTTTCCCAGATTTAAAAGACACGAAAGAATTGGTCTGTGTATTTGGCAAACCAGCCCCATAAGTGACTACACCCCAGTTAGGGAATGTGTGCATTTTTGCAGTACCATATTCAGCGGGAGGCTGTGGGGCGAGTTGGGGATCGTACCAGATGTACTCAGTGTGAAGAGTGCTCCACCTCTGGGCTGTGGAGGGGACCATCGGTCCATCTTTAGGTCGGTGCCTTCTAATTTGCTGGGCTAACCAATTTCCAGCTCCGTTCTTTAAGATGAACTTATCCAAAAAAACCAACTGGCTCTCTGGACCATAAAACCAGTTATAATTGGAATCTGCTATGCCCACAGTTCTTTGGAAACCTGGTAAAAGGGTAGCATAATAGAACCAAAAGTGCATTTTTAACCAGTTATTATCCAAGTTGTTGATGTTAAAATGGCGCTGGGCCAGAAACACATACTGTGTGATTGATTTAGCTGTGTAGCTTCCATAGGCCACACCTTCATCCAAAGAACCATCGACAATATGATTCAATAGAAACATTGTCTTTTCCATCACGTCTACCACAACTTGTTTCCATAAATTTACTTTAGATTCTTTACCTACCCCGGTCACCAAGGCCCCAGTGAGCAGTGCTATCATATTAGTAGCTTGATGGTTATGGAGAAGTTGTTTGCCCCATGAGCGGACCTTGGAATACTCGTACATTTCCTCGGTAATCACCCATATTTTTTCCAGGTATTTTTGTCTTCGATGATCATCTAGTAAGTTATATAAAAAGTCAAAGGCAGTGGCAAAACCTGTTAAGGAATGGCCAACTGGAACCTCATCCCCTGGTGCGTTCTCCACTAGCCAGTCTTTGTAGCCAACCATCCTGTCCATATATTCCAAGACAAATTCAAAGGCAACCTTGTCTTCTGGGCATAACAAGCAGTACAGGGCTAAAGGAGGCAGATTGTTACCATAGATTTCATTCCACTTGGCAGCAAAGTCAGCATGCCTGGGGGGAGGTAGGTAGTACGTTGGGTTGGAGAGCATAATTGTCACTGCACTTCTGATCGCTCTAAAAAGATGCAAATGGCTTGTGCGAGACTTTTGTCTCATTGATTGAATTTCTCCCGCATCAAAATACAGATTTGGATGAAGCCCACTTTTCTTCAGTTTTTGGCTGGGTCTGAAATCTTCCACTTTCTGTGTCTTAAACTGATCTATCTCATCTGCAAAAACTGTCCAGTCAGAGTAATTGCTTACAGATTCCTCAAAAGTAGAGAAAGCAAACATCACTAACGTTAAAAATAAGAAATGTCCTGTAAACATTAACGCCATGATCCATCAGGGAGTTCCTTTCCTTAAGCAATCATGTCAAACAGAGTGCTCAATGTGGTTCCCATCTGCTTAGTATAAAGCATACACGTAAGGCCTTGATAAAACAGACTATAAATCACTTATGCTGTGAAATCCAGCTGACATTCGGCTCATTCTAAGCAAGTACAGTTGCCAAGAAGAGAAAACTTACACTGTACACTTGTGACCCTAATGCAGTTTTGCTTCCAATAAAGCTTTAAGGAAACGTTAAAACCTCCAGTTTTTCCACATCATACAGCAAACAGTGGTAGCAAGAAAACATACTATGAATCCATGGAGAGTCAGGACACACATTGTAAAAAAAAGAAAGAAAAGAAAAAAGAAAAATCACTCCAAAATCCAAATTAAGCCATTCCTACCATAGGAAACCATCACCAGTGATAAAATCCCCATACACATATGAGGCCCTTGTGTGTGTTTCTGTCCACAGAAGGTGATGAAGTACTGAAATCTTTGTGATGGACGTGGTTGTTATTCTTCTCAACTTTTTACAATTCTGGCTTTGAGAATTTTTTTCTTCTTCATTTTTGGGAGAAAAGCATCCTCAGTAAGTGTCCAAAGTCCTACGTGGTATACAAAAAGTGAAAATTCCTGCCCTCATTTCAAATCTGTCTTTTTCAGGCTTTCTTACTTATCAGCCTATTATAAGCAAGAGGAAGCATTTTCATGTCTTCTTTTATCAGCTTCATCTGTACAGCTAGAAAAATCTAATCTCTTCAGCCACCTAGGTATTTCTCTTCCAATCACAAAGTAACCACCAGCAGGGAAAGAAAACTCCCCTTTCACCAACAATGCCGCCTCTTTTCTGTTCCTTTTTCATGACATTCTTTTCTGAGGGAAGGAAGAAAAAAAAAAAAAACAAAAAACAAACAAAGAAATTCTCTGAGGCTACAGGTATGCCGGGAGTGAATATAAACTGATAACTCAAATCTTGTCCTGGACAGAAGTTTCAGAATCACAATAAAAACTGTTACTACACACAGTCTAAGTTAGCTCAAGTGATTCTTTTTTTTCTTATATTTTTAAATGCACACATTAGGATAACAATGAATAGTGGCAGATGACAAGCAGCTACAAGATCTAACTTTGCCAACGGCATTTATTTTAACTGTAGCCTGCAAAGGCTGTAGCTAAAAGCCTTTTTATATGTTTTAGGGTGGTGAGGGGTAATAAAAGGTAGAGAATGTGTATGGTAACTGATGGAAGGAGCTTTGACTTTGGGTGGTGGGCACACAACCCAATATACAGATGATGTATTATAAAATTCTACACTTGACACCCATATAATTTTATCAACCAATGTCACCCCAATAAATTAAATTAAAAATGTAGAAAATAGTAAATAAAATGCTTTTATTCAAATGCAGCTTACCCAGAGATGAGCCCTGCTATGAGTCTTCTTGTTTTGGTCACAAAGGACTCGGGGACAAAAAGCAAAAATGGCAAGGATTTTTTTTTTTTATTCCTTTAGAGGGTTTAGCTTTCATGGGTTCAGAAGGTGTCTCCGTAAGAAACCAGACACTTCCCTCAAAGGAGAAATCGTGACAATGTGTGGGAAGGGCAGTTCCGCTCCCATCTCTCACCTGTAGCCTCGCGCTTCTTCTTCACCAGGGACCACCAGAGGGAGCTCAGACCCAGACTTAAGGCGCAGCTTCCCTCTGCGCGTCTTCTGATGGGAAGAACCTACCCAAGTTTCAGTCCTGGACAAGTCTCCTTTCCGAGGGAAACGTTAACGACAGGAGTTTCCTGATCCGCCCCGCCTGTTGCATTTTTTAATGCACTTCCTACGAACGTGCCGCCCCCATCCTGCGCTCTCCGCTCCCCGAACTCTGACGGTGGTTTGAGGACAGGAGACCTCTCAGTGGCCAAGTCCGCTTACCTTCGGCAGATCCGGACAGGGTCCCCGAGCAGCGATGGGCCCCAGTGCAGGGGAGGTGGGGAGTTGGAGAAAACTGCGGTGCGCTGGGGGCCGGGTTGCGCGCTCTCCTGCTGGGTCCCTTGCTCCCCAAGCCCCGCGCTCCCCGAGCTCCTACAGGCTGCGGCCCCGCGCTCGTTCCCCACTCCGCACCGCGCGAACACGCCTGCCCTCGGGGAACGCTGGACGTTCCCGGGCGGCTGCAGACCTCGGGAAGCAGATCTGTGAAAGGAGGGCGCTCTCGGGGACGCCGTGTCCAGCGGAGCGCCAGCGTCCCCAAGCTGCGATGCTGCCGCCGCCGCCTCTCCTCCGTGCCAGATCCGGCCGCGCGGCCCGGGGAGGGCGAGAGACGGGGACGCGGGCCGGGGGCGGGGCGGGGCTCGGGGGCGGGGCCTGGGCGGGGCCTCGGGGCCGGAGTGGGCGAGGGGTGGGGACGTGGGCGGGGGGCGGGGCGGGACCAGACAGGGGCAGGGCCTCGGGTTTTGGGAGGGCGAGGGTCCGGGACGCAGGGAGGTCCTGGGCGGGGCCTCGGGACCGGGGGCGGGACTAGAGAGGCAGGGTGGGGAGGGCTGTCGGGCGGGGGGCGGGGCCAGGGCGGGATCAGGGCGGAGCCGAGCGGTCTCTTATCCTATCCGGTAGGGGCCCGGGACCCGCGGGTTCCAGGCTGCAACTGCGCTGCTCGTCCTGGGACCAGGGGACCCCCCGGAAGGGGACTTTGGGAGTGTGAATGTCTGAGCCCTCGCCCGCTGGCCGAGTCCTTTGGTTATGTGTCGAGGATCACGGCTGGGGGTGGGATGAGGATGGAGGAGTCTCTGGGTCTGACAAATGCGAGAAGCGCTGGCGGGCGGGGTCACGCTGTGAGGTGTCAGCAAAAGTCGTTGAGGAAAAACGAGGGCTGAGGAGGGGAGGGATGAGAGGCAATCTGGTTAAGGTGCTGTCATTTAGGAAAGCCAAATCAGCATACCACAGTAATGGCAGAGAAATATGACAGTGACTACAGTAGCACAGACGCTAAAGGTCAGGGGAAAACAAAAAAACACTAATTAGTTTCTTAGGTTGAAAGAGTTTCTCCGCAGTGTAAATATGGGAAGGTATGAGACAAGCAGGTGGAAGGAACCTCATTCTTACTAAAGAAATGGAAACAAATTCAGTAAAGACCCACGGCAGGCAAAGACAGTGCGCCTCAATTAGTACGACAACGTGTTGCAATTCCAGGGTTTGGAAATACTAAGGCAGCTGTGAATCCTTCCAAGTTCGACCTATTGAACTTCTGACAGGGATCTGAGATTATGCTTCAGCAACAGCTAACCCAAGGTCTGACCTCACCTATCACAAATAACTTAGTAATAGGAATTCGGGGAAATAGGAAGCCCTGTAAATTAGCCAACCATCCCCAGCTGGGGACTGATGGCGGTTTCAATTTCCCGCTCCATCTCATTTTGGTAAATGAATAGATGTATCCATGAAAAAAAAAGTGTCTTGCTTAGATCACTTCCTCGGAAAATCAAATAGACTGTTGCTAGAAAAATAAATTTCAAATAATGTACCGTGGAGGTGAAAAGTGTCCTCTGTCTCCTCATCCATCTGTTTTGTCCCCTTGGGAACCCTAGCCCCAGTCCAAATGTCCAAAGTGGCTTTTGCTCTGGCAATTGGATGCCTACGCTTATCCCATTCCTAACTGCGCAGCAGCGTCGGTACCACCACCCTCGTTGATTAGTTGAAATTTGTCTTTTGAAATTCTTTTCATCATTCTGGTCTTAGCTCAGAGGCTTAAATCCTTCCGTCAATACCTCCTAGGTTTTCCTAAGCAGAATGAATTACTCAAGCACTTTATGATCTGTGTCTATATTCAGCCCTTAGATCATTTGTTTTATGCTTAATATTTTACCCAGCTGACTGCTGTGCTCTATGCAAAGCTCCTTCAAATTACAAGCAGTCACACCCAGTCCCCTTTTAGGCGCTGTGTCCTGTGTTGGACATGAGTTGAGCTTTTAACAGGTGGCTCACATTGAGCATGGCCTCCTCCACTGATATTCATTCTGAAACAGAGTCTTGTGCTGAAGTCCTGAAACAGACCTTTCTGCCAACGTCTGGATTGTCCCCCTATGTGGCCCACAATTTAGGAAGATGACTCACGGCTTCCAGCCTCCTTTATGGGGAAGAGAAGAGTTGGGGGAACGAGGAGCCCAGTGGCAGAGATTCCTATAATTTTCTGCAAAACGGTGCTTTGGAAACTGCCTAGGAATTAGTGTTAGTAAACAATGAGTAAATATGCAGACCATTTTTCAGAACAAAATGTGTGGATGGGTTCTTTTATTCTGAGGATCCCAACCACATGCCTCATTACAGCAAGGTGAATCATGGAGATTATTATGAGCACTAGCATCTGGCTGGCGAATTATTTTAACTTCCATTTGATTTTTTTTCCAGATTTATTAACATCAATATGATATTTTTCACTTTACAGGTGAATGGATCCAGGTACAGACATTGTGGCTTTTCAGCTCTGCCCCTTGCCTCTGTGCTGAAGCTATGGGAGGCAGCTAACTTCTCGGCATCTTCAGGTGCGCTTTCGGGCTAATTCATATTAAGCAGAAGCATCTCCCAGTTGTGAGTGTGTTGAAATAAAATAAGCTACAGATGACCAATACTAATTGTTGGCAGAAAAGGCAGAAGGTAAATGGCACTGTGAAAAAAAGGAGAGAGCCTTGTTTCTGGTGAACTAAAAATTGAGAGCTCCAATTATTTATTGCTCCTTCCACACATGACAATGGTACAAAGTTAGTTATAAATAATGCATCCAACCATAGAAAGGATGAGCTATATATTATGGTATTGTACATTAAAAACCTTTAAGAGTGTGGCAAGAGACACATATACCAACAGCTGCTAAATTCAGAATCCTGGAGCAGTATCTTATTTTAATATAGGTGAAGAACAGTAAAGTCTACCACTCTGGGGATTACCCTCTATATAAAAAGATTTTAAATCTACATAATATTTTGCTCGTGATTTCAAAGCACTTAAAAAATCTGTTTTATTTATTTGAATGTCTTTCAACCAAACCATGGGCCATGCCACTTACAACAGAGGTTATACTTTCTAAACTAGATTTCCCAAGGCAGGTGCTTCCTTCCTTCCTTCCTTGTTCCCTTCCTTCCTTCCTTATTGCTTTTCTTCTTCTTTTTTAATTCTTTGACAACTAACTCAGAGCCTGGCACTTGGTGTTGAGTGTGTGTGAAATGTTGAACAGGA